ATATCGAACGGCGCAGTTTTAAAAAAAGAGAAATGTTTACGTTTTTGTTTATTAAAACTGATCTACGCATTGTTACATGAATATAAACATATGTACTTAATCATCAGAACCAGGAGATTTATTTAAAAAAAATTTTCTTTAGTTAATATATCTGATCTTGAGAAATTTAAAAAAAGCTTGACCGGATACTTTTTGGAGGGTAGTGTATGTCATTTTATGTCCTAATACTTAGGTTCTTCACTGTAGGCTAAGAAAGGAGCGATTATGTAATTATATTATTTAGGCATAATTGGCTTGAACTAGGTTATTTAGTCACAAATAACCTAACTATGACTAAATAACTTACATATAACCATATAACCTAATTATGACTAAATAACTTAATAACCTAATTATAACTAAATAACTTAAATTAAATAACTTAAATATGACTATTTTATTGCTTCTTTATTTATACATGTTATGTTTCTTACCTTTGAAATGATGTTTCTTTGCTTTTTTCTTATCTATTGTTTTGTTGTCATGTGATAAATAACCTACTTGTGACTAATTTTATTATCTGCTGTGCATCAATAAATGTTTTTTAGTGCAATTTGCGTTGGTGAGGGTCTATAGCCGTTAAATCGTTAAACAGATGTCTGGTCTGCCTACTGACTGTCTGTAGCCATTAGAGGTTCAAGTTGTTAATCACCTGTTAGCCTTTCTTTGTGCCCTTTTTATTGCTAAGAAGTTGACCATATGTTGACTGAACTCAGTGTCCTTTTTATTGCTAAAAAAAAATCGTGTCGGGTGGCGCAGTAAATCCGCAGTGCGTTTTCGGTTAATTTTGACATGCAGTAGGGAAGAGATTTTTTTTTTGATATATGAGTTAAGCCGATGTGGTTTATATGGTTAGACTCGGTGACATAGATTGGGGGTTGCGCAATAGGCGCAGCGCACATTGACGCCAATTCCTATTTTACTTTTACATATAACGCGCGTATGACTACACAAGATGTTTACACATTCTTACATTTTGCGCTTATAAAAATATTTGAATTTATATCACTAGGTTAGACTTTAATTCTTAAAATGGGTTAGTTTAAGCCTGCTAAACAAGCTTAAAGTTCAGGGATATATAAACAAACAATGTTGTGAGAGTAACACAATATGATTCAAATGAGTTGGCCATATATAGTGATAAAACAATGAGGAATGAGGAAAATAAAAGCCGATTGTTCAAAAATCAGATTCAACATTTTTGCCGCCCGACATCTTTCCCAGATAGAGGTTTTTTTCTTTTTAATATCAATGGTAGATGTTATTACAAAGATCATCAAAGATTTCAGTGCCCGTGACTTACATTCGGCACTTCTGGTTAACCGAGAATGGTGTCGAGCCACTGTTCCAACGTATTGGAAGGCTCCATTCAGTTTTACAATGAAGAGGAGTACCACCGCATTGAAGGTTTATGAATCATTTCTTGAAACGGCGGAAAAGTCTACGCAGCAAACGGTTCAAAAGCCTGTTTTCGATTACCCATTGTTTATCAAAGAACTCAATTATACAAACTTATTGGCTTGTTTTGAAACGTGGGAAAGGGCTAGGAAAGTTGAAGCAATACTTCAAATGCTAACAAAGTATGAGATTCGCCTAAAAACTTTTATTATGGATAATACCGGTGCGAATAATGAAAGAGTTTATGGATTGTGGACGACACCATGTTATGCCTCAATGTTCAGTTCCCTCAATTACGTTGAAATACACACCCCTTTCCCCAAAAATAATGTTATGAAAGCATTGGCAAAAAATTGCACTGAACTGGTATGTTAGTATCTTTAAATGTACGTACTGTACCTATAAAAAAAATTTTTCATTCTTTTATTGACATTGTAGTACGCCTAATGGCATCTTTAAAATCATACATTTCTCTTAGTCACATTTAGATATTAATCTTCATGATACTTCCGTTCCACGTGCCGAAGAATCGATCAATCATCTTAAGGAACTTTTGTCTGCTCAAACGTGTCCCTTGAATCTTCGGTTGGTATTTCCAAACGGATCTGGGAGATCGCTGCTCGAAACATTTCAGTCCCGGCTTGAATCCTTCAAACGTCTTGAACTTGTAAAATGGAACTTCAACGGTTGTGATTGGGAATGGTTAAAAAGGTGTTCCAATTTGGTCGAATTTGCCATAACAAGCCCTCCACCTCAGGTTTCTGGGATTTTAGGTACTAAAAAAGAAAATTATCGTTTAAAAATTTCGAAAAATTCAAAGATTTCGACCGAACATTGGCATTTTGACAAAAATGACGAAATCCCTTCAAAGTTTTACTTTCACTCGGATAAACCTTTGATGGAATCACAACCTCCGATTATAACTCAACCACGAGTAAGCCGCCGGACAAATGATCCTAAAAAGTTACAATATATTCGTGCCAACGCTGTGAGGCGTATGTTTAAAGAATTCGATTATTATTCTTCAGAAGATGAATTCAATTACTCCAGTTCTAACTACGATTACGATTACGATGATGGTTATGAAGAATCTTTTGGTATGAGTTACGAATCATATTTGGATGCCATATATGGCTAGTAATTCAATATCAGGATTAGATTAAAGTTTATTTTTTCTTATTAAATATGTACTGTATAAAATAATATGCAATGTATTTTATTTTCATGAAACTTGATAACTTTCAAATATAAAATATGGCATAATATTAATAAAATAAATACAAAAAGAAAGCAAAAAAAGAGAAGAATTAGGAGAATTTATTTTTGTTGTATACATTTTAGAATAATTATTTTTTTACATAACTTTAATATAACAACACAGTTTTTTTTTCATGTTAGGCTGAGAAATAATCTCAGAAAATTGCGTCCAAGTTGTCCTGAGAACTAGGACAGGAAATAGGACGGATTCTGATATGGGAGAAAAGCTTCTTTCTTTGATTTAACTTGTTCTTATATACCTAGTTGTCCTAGTTATCCTAGTTGTCCTAGTAAAAATAAAATTCTACAGTGCAGAACCTCTATAATAGGAACTTTGCTATAGTAAAAATGGAACAAATTTAAAATGCAAAAGAAATTTTATTATATATAAAATTGAAAATTTAATCCATAAAATAAATAAACCATGACATGCGCTTTAAGATTTTTGGATTAGTATTTTAATATCTTCAAATATTGATAGAGTTATGTCAGGTTAAAATTCATCCAAAATTAAATTATAAAAACTAAAATTGAAAAAAATATGTGATGGCGAATTCATGAGATCGATTCTTTTATCGTTCATATATTTTATCCTAAATATTATTGTGAATTGAATTATATAGAGATGTATTAGGATGCAGCAAAAAGATATATATGAGAACATTACAATTAGATAAATCTTAACTTTTTTTAAATTTATCTAAAATAACTTTTTATTTTTAAAAAAAAAATTTTTAAACCCCATTTTTTAAATTTTTTGAATTGGTTATTCTTAAAAAAACAATATTTTAAAAATGATTTATTTTAAAAAAAAAATTATTTTTACATGATAAGAGAAAAGCATTAAAAATCGATGAATTAACATATTCAAAAAGATCCGATTTAATTCTACTTACCAAATCAGTTTTTTTGATTTTGATAACTTGTGAAATTAAAAACGAATGTGTTACATGATTTATTTGTAAATATTGTTTATTCATTCAAATTATAAATATTTTGAAAGGTCTTGACTCGACAGTGTAACCGCCCTTCCGTTAAAGTCGAAATTTGATTTGATTGCCATATAGGGTTTTTGTTTGTGTTTCGCGTTTTTTTTTTTTTATTTTATTTTTCAAAGAAAAAAAAGTTATTATGGCTTAAAATTTGGGTGATACAAAAATAATAATTTTTTTTTTTCAATTTTAACGTCAATATGATATAATAAGAAATTGTTATCGTTGAGTTTCACAATAAAATAGAGCTGATTGATCAGATAAGCAAAATCTTTTAAATAAAACCATTTCTTTGTTAAAGAAAGAATTACATGAAACAAATTTCAAATGTACAATTATTCATAAATTACTTTAAGTGATTTAAGTAAACATATTATTAGCGTTGTGACCTCTTTTGAGAAGTAAAATAAAATATTTGTGGTAAAATGCAAAATTTAATTTGAAACGACATTAAAAGCAAATAAAAGTGGCAGAAGCACCAGAGGACTTTTTTTTTCCCTTTCAAATTATATAATACTACTTTTATTCCCTATTTATAGTATAATAATGTTTCAATTGTCAATGAAAAGTGATATAAATGGTTGGTCGCTATTCGTATCAAATCTTGAGCGAACCCTTCTTGTATTTACCTTAAAATAAAATTATTTCCCGGAAAAAAAAATTAAGTAAAAAAAGGAAAGAGTTTCGTTTAACTTTCTCTCGTGATACATTAAATTAAGCAAATGTATTAAAAATCGCATGCCAAGGAACAACATTCATAACTAGTGCAACATAACAAGTTATAACTTAAAAATGCCCGAAAATCTTGTTATAAATTGGGTTTTTTTTCCAAGGAAAGTTTTGGGCCTTTTTTTTTTTCTTTTTGCCTTTACTTCCTTACCTTCACCTTTAGTATTTATTTATATTTGTTGAATTATTTTTTCGTCTTGAAATTTATTCTTTTAAAAAAAAAAAAAACGAATAAAAATGTCTGTCTCCAAACCTTCCACTTTCTCCGAGATTGGAGAGAATCTTCAAAGGCTTCTTGATAATAACAAAGCATGGGCTAAATCAATTACAGAGACGGAACCAGAATTCTTTACTACCACGGCAAAAGCACAACATCCAAAGATCGCTTGGTTTGGTAAATTTTTTCTAACGTCACATATGATCGGCATATAATTTTCCTAAAATGATCATCATCTAATTTGTGGTGTAATGTGTGTGTAGGTTGCTCCGATTCTCGCGTTCCAGCCGAGACTGTGGTTCAATTAGGACCCGGTGAAATTTTTGTTCACCGAAATATCGCCAATCAATTAAACCACGCTGATTTGAACTCATTGTCGGTTTTACAATATGCGGTCGACCATCTTAAGGTCGAACACATCATCGTTTGTGGTTAGTATTTTTACACGTTACTTTGTTAAATGTCGGTTCGGATATTTTATTTGAATTTACGCGTTTTTTTGTGTGTAGGTCATTATGGATGCGGTGGTGTGTTGGCTGCAATGTCAAATGATCAACATGGTTTGGTTGACCACTGGTTAAGAAACATTAAGGATGTTTATAAGAATAACAAATCAACGATAGAATCATCCGCACCCGAGAAACGATCGAACTTGCTTGTAGAATTAAATGTTAAACAACAAGTTTATAATATTGCGGCTACAAATATCGTTCAAAGTGCCTGGGCTGCTGGTAGGAAATTGGAAATTCACGGATGGGCTTATCGTCTTGACAATGGAATATTGAATGATTTGAAAGTAGATATAAAGGGTGAAAAAGATTTAAGTGATCAAATTTATAAAGTATTGCCAGTATTGCCGGGAAGTCATGCATAATCCATGTTAAATTTCAATTTTTTTTTTTTGATTTTATTTTATTATTCTTATTTTTTCGTAAAACTTTTTTTTAACATTTTTAAATTTTGAATTTAGAGTAAATTATTATTTTTTTTTTGAATGAATAAAGAAAATTTAAATGAATTTTTTATTAGATGTTTATTTATGATATAATGATGTCTTTGAGACAAATGCTCCTCATGAATTTTTTACACGTATTCCATTCTGAATATGAAATTAAACTTGGTCCAACACAGAAAAAAATTTTTGAATTTTTTTTTTTTTCGAATGCTTATCGCAGATCAAGTAATGCGTTCGGCCATTTTAGGAAGATAAAGTTTTTAGTAAGAAAATATTGAATAGCAAAAAATTTTATTCAAATATCTAATTTAATCCAAATGTTTACTTTAAAAATAATCAAATTATAATCAAGATTAATAATTCCCTTTATATACTTTATCAGGAATTTATTTATGTAATGGTTTATGCTTTTATAAAACTTTATAATTTATACCTCATCACAATTCTACATTTATTACAAATAATATTATGAAATATATTATTTAGCATTTTATAAAAGCATAGTATTTTCTAAAATAAATTTATTAACATAATTAAATATTAATAAAGTATTATAATCAAAGTATTTTAAAGGTTTGCTAAACTGTAATATTTGCAAATTACTAAAATTTCAATTATAATATTTTGTTACAATAAAAATGTAAATATTATAAAGTTTTATAATATAATACTTTATAAATATATAAAACTGTAAAATTTATATATTTTTATCAAAATTTTTTTTGGATGTTTATTTAAAATTTTTATTTAATTTATTAAGAAAATTCAAATTTGATTAATTAAATTTATTTATAAATTTTTAATTTAATATTAATAATATAAAATACTAAAAATGTATTATTAAAAAATCAATTTTAAATAAAAATAAAAAATAGCTATAATTATCTATTAAATTATATATTATATGAGATATATTATAGTCCAGCGTATTTTCAAATTTGGAAATCAAATCTAGAATATTCTTTAATCATATCTTAAAATTTAATTGGTGTTTGATCATCATTTTTATAAAAATTTCGAAATTAAAATACATCATACATATTTTTTTTTTATAAAAAATAACTATTGAAATATATTCTTTCAGGTATGTGATTTCATAATCTATGCTGATCTATGAAGCTTTACAAACCAGTTTTTAAATTATTTTTAGATTAAAATACACTTTTTTTACATATATATATGTTATTTAACAATGACAACTTCAAAACTGAAAGCTAAAAACTTACCTTGCATATTCAATTTTATCATTAGTAAATATTCAGAAAGCTAATTAGTACTATATGAAACTAAAGAAAAACAGAGATAGTGACATGCATCAACTGAAATAGCAAAAAATAAAATTACAATTTTAACTAACTATTTTTTTGAATTAAATTAATTATTTGATTCTTTAGAAAATTACTCTTTATGTGAAAAACATTATAATAATGTTATTGTTAGAGATTCTTTTATTAATTAATTGAAAAAAACTAATAACTTAATTTTTTTAGATGAAGAAAGTAAAAGAAAAAGGTTAAAATTTTCTGATAACAATAATGACGAATTGCAAGCTTATTGTGATTTTGAAGTTCAAGTATCTTTACCAGATCCAGAATATGAAAATAAAATTAATGAATTAATGCATCTTAATAAGCAATTATTATCTGAAATTAATGAATTAAAGTATTTTAATAAGCAATTACTATCTGAAAATGAAAGATTAAAAAAAAAGTTAGATAGCTGATTTGCTAATCAAGAAGATTGTATCAAAGCTATAATAGATATTGCTAAAAAAGAATGAGAAAATTTATATGATAACATATTAAGTTTAATAAATGATCATGAAAAATTTCAATTAAATAGTTACTTAAAATATTCTCCTTTTCAATGGTTTATTAAACAAAATCTGGTTGTTATAAAATTTATAGAAATTCTCACTTATAATGAAAATGAAATCAACATGAAGATGAAAAACTATTCAAATGTGCTGTAGCAATTGATATGATTTATAGAATAAGATATTTAAAATATATATCTGCTATTAATTTAGCAATATCGGCAATTAAATATTCTATTACAAGATCTAAATCAATCATTAATATTGATAACTATTTTATAAATACCAGAAGTTATACTAAATTTATTAAATGACAAGAAATTTAGCTAATGAACCTCAATCATTTCCAAAGGGTTTAGTATTTATAGCATTTGATAATAAACAAAAGGGTCAAAAAAATTATTTAGATCGTGTATATAATACAGTTATTTATCATACTATTACAAGTTTTGTTTTATTGAATTATGATCCTATTAATCAAATACAAAATCTTGAAGATCCTTAGTTATATAAAACCCCTTTAATGCATTACAAATTGAAAAACTATTTGATCTCATCTCTGAAATGCAAACATTAATTAATTAATAACTTTGCGATTATCTTTCTGTTATCTTGGCTGAAGCATGTATAAAGATATAAATATTATTAATAATTTAATAACTGATCAGAATATGAAAATAGGTAAACAGAAATAATGTTGAGAATGTGATAAAGATAATATCAAAAATTTAAGACGTAAATATCCTTAATATAATATAAAACTTTCCTCATTTACTGAAACTCAAGAAGCAATTGATCAAACAATATTTGAAAAAAAAGATACAATCAAATCTTTAATTTTTAAATTCTATCAATCTAAAATAGATACTTCCAAAAAGTTTACAAATTCAATTAATCCAATTATTATAACCCAAATATTCAACTAAAAAGATATTAATGTATCTGACATCCTTGTTTTAGATCCTATACTAATCAATCCAAACTCTATTAAGAATGTCCAAAAAGTTTTAGAACATATTAAAAAAATTAGTAGAATTAATAAAGGTGAATAAAAATGGATTGCAGTAGTTTACAATGAAATTCCTTACCATTATGCACAAAAATTTAAAAATGATTATCCAGAAATTCTTTTAATATTCAATCCACTTCATAAAGAGATGAATATGTTGAAATCCTTTGTGAAATTAAATTGGTAAGTTATAATTAGTTCTAAACTGTTTTAAATTAATCTAATCTTATAATTTTATAATATAAAATTTAGGACTATTGATTTACAATATTTTGCATAATGTTAAGGATACAAAAATAAAAACAAATTAGGATCTTTTAAAAATGTGCTGATCATTACAAAGCGTGAAATTCAATTTGTAATATTTATCAGCACGTAATGATCATAAAATTAGTTTGGCCTTATGTTGCTTTAGATCCTAGTCTGACTGTTACTGGATATCTTAATTGGGTTAAGAATCAATAAGATGAACTATATAAATTAAAATATAAACAAGTATATTAGTAATTTATAATTTAATAATTACAAATATTCAAAAAAAAACTAATACTTATTTTTTTTTAGATCTTTTTGTATTTGCAAGTTATAATAAATTTTCATGCCAGAGTTAAACTTAATCAGCCCTTACTTAAATCAGCTGCACATAGAGCATTTACCCTTATTTAATCTGCAAGGTAATATCCTATTTATCAAGAAATTGAAGTAGCTGATAAAGAATAACTTATACACCTTCGCCTTGAAATCTGATAATTTATTGAACTAAATTCAATTGTATCATGTTAGGATAGTCAAACTAGCATCAAGGATTAGATGCTATACTTAAAGAAGTTAATAAAATGCTGAAGACACTCATCTCACCTATACTAACTCAGAAGCACTGGGAAATTGCAGCAAGAAATTATATGAAATTTATTAAGGTAAAAATAATAAATTTAATAATATTAAATTATGATACTTATCATTTCTTTTTTGATAGCAGTTACAAAAGAGATTATTTTCTACAATCGGATATGCAAATGCTAAAAGTACTAGTTTACAAATACGTCCAAATTATAAGATAGAATCACAATAGTTCTGAGTAGTGTTCCGCACAGATTCAGATCCGTCAAATTCAGATTAGATTCAGATTCAGATTCAGATCAGATCAGATCCATCAGATTCAGATTCGAATTTGGATTTGATCCATCAGATTCAGATTCAGATTCAGATCTGATCCGTCAGATTCAGATTCAGATTCAGATCCTAAATTGATTATCAAATGTTAAATTGATAATCTTTTTTTGCCTTTGTAA